TTCTGCTGCCTCCTCCTGTGCATGTAGCGGCCTGCGCTCTGATACAAAGCCACCCCAACTCACGCCTCTGTTTCCTAGCCACTGTACCCCACCAGTGCTTACAAATCCCCGCTATCAGTGTTTTGGGCCAGATATCTATTGTACGCGTCTTTACTGCAAAGTGCGTCACTCAGCCTGTCTAGACAGAAATGCACTCAGTGAATCTTCCACGTGTGTCCACCTGCCCTGTCTGTTTTAGGTGTTGGTGTCTGTGGCTTTTTCCAAAGGGGTAATAAGCGTGGATTGTTCACATGTTTAGTCAATGTCTGGAAACAAAATAAAAATATACTATTGCTGTTTTGTTATTCAATTGAACACGTGCCTTGCCCATGTATAAAAAAAAAAAAAGGAACAGGTTCACTTTTACACCCCGGTCGCATCGGGTGAGACTTGGCATGCGACTTGCAAATCGTATGCCAAGTCTCAACCTATTGTCCGCTATTACAAAGGGGGAGTCCTCTTTTTGGATGGGACTTTACCGACACAATACTCTTTATATGATAAACTTAAATAGTTCAAAAAAAGTATTTTTGTTAAAAAGAATTTTTGCAGTTTTATTTTTACAATCTTAAAAAGCAAACATAGAGCTACAATACAGATTACGGCGGTGTCATCAAGAATGATATTGCAACTGTAGTATTGGGTCATGCATAAATCGCACTTGACGCGTTTCGAGACCAACAGCAATCTCTTCCTCAGAAGTGCTCAAGAAGGCATGACGCCTATAACAAACACATACATATCAATATGCATACACAATTTTGTTGGTATTAACAATATATTAATTTGCAATGTGGTTATCCACTTACATGATTCCATGTGAGGTGAAACCGCCAAAAGATTAAGAACTAGTTTTACATACACACAGCCAAGGACTCCTCATAAATCTCAAGCAAGAGTGATGGAAAATAGGGAAAACCAGAGAAAACCAGCAGAGGATGAATGCCGCACAAATGCCTCCTGAAGGGTCCACACCCAAAAGCATCAGCAACAAGACCACTTGCTCACTGATGTTGATAGGTATCAAGTACCTGGTGATGGAGGCCAATGGAGAGAGGGCTTCCCTTGCGGCTAAGTTCTCTTCTGTATTCTTCATGGATGTTGGCACCCTGTGTATTATATCTCTTTCTCCCTTCTATTGTCCGCTATTAGAGCAGTCGTATCGGTGCAGTTCCAACTTGGTCGGAGCTGCACCAATTTCTAATGTAGTGCATGCACTACTTTTGGTGCGATTTGCATAGACATCTGTGTCAGATGGCTTGCAAATCGCACCTGAAATCGGCAAGTCATCTGACTTTTAAATCGTGCGGCTTTACTGTAAGTCACACAATTTCAAAATCGGGCTTGATGTGTCCGGGGGCTTAATGTTAGACCTTGCAGCTGAACATACTCCCCATTCCTAACCCTCCTGTATTGAACTGTATTGTTCTGTATGGTCTCCCTTTATATTGTAAAGAGCTGAGCAAACTGTTGGTGCTATATAAATCCTGAATAATAATAATAGCTTCCCCTACCAGTGTTGAGGGGGAATTAGCCCTGTGTACTTGTGGCCATACATGATTGATTTCTTTTCCAAACGATTTATTCCCATAGGAATAATCGATCCATAGTCAATAACCCATTAGATCGATATTCCACAAATGGGAAGGTGGATTTTAAGCTATAATTGTCACTTAGTATCATAAATTATTAATCACATCTCTGTGTCCACCATGTAATCTCATAATCTGGGCAATCAAAGTATAATCATATTCATTGGCAAAGTATCTCAGTGCTGTTAATGGATACACAACGATCAATAATCTTCAATCCTGGCTGTTTAACTCAGTTTGATCGAATATGGTCCAAATCAAGGATAGGCAACCTTAAAGAGGTGGAGATCTACCTGAACAACACGAGAGAAGTCAATGATCCCCGGGCACCGTGTCGCTCAGTGTCGCCTCATCACTACCTGATTTAAACCTCCAATTGCCGTATTATCGTGTCGCAATCACATGCACTGCATAACAATCATGAGTTTAATTCAGGTGATTAGGAGGCAACATATCACCTCCTCACCACCTGTCAAACACACTCATCGCTTTTCAGAAGACCAGCTGTGGCTGCTGCACTTGTGAATGAGCCCTTCGTTGCATTCGTCAGCGGCACCCTTAGGACTTGTTCACATGAAAAGTTGGGTGGCGGTAAAACCTTGTGCGGTTGAGTCGCAGTATTACCACTCCCATTTCCTACCCCCTTTAGCTGCTGAGGCAGCAGCCAAAGGTGTACACATGCCGCAGCAGGAATTGAACCCCCTGTTACTTTTGGTGGTGGCTACCTGTTGATAATCACAACCTATTCAAGTAAACGGGGCCACTCTGCAAGCTCCCCGTAACTGTATGCTTCTGCGGGATCCAAGATGTTAAAGAAGGTGGTGAGAAAGCAACACAACCCTGCCTGCTCTAACTCCTTGCTTGCTGTACTGCACAAGGTTGCAGGGCACTTACATAGCGGCCTCAGTCACTTGAATGGGTCAAGCTTGGCAGGTGCTACACCCAGCAATCACGACAGGTCATATAACTCCTGCTGCGACTGCAACATGTGTACACCGCTGGCCACTGCAGCTAAAAGGGGTGTGGTTGGGGCAGGTGGTGAAAACACATCTTAACTATGGGGTTTTACCACCCCCAAACTGCAAATGTAAATGAACTATTACTGTTCTAAGTCCCAGATAAATCTGCTTTCACAGTGACGTGCTGAGGTTTACCAGCAATACGGGTGCAGCACAGTGCATCTGCGACTTTCTTGGGTTATCTGCAGTTTTGCATAAACTTCTGTTATATCCTGCAGGTATGGTGCACTTTCAAAAAGTGCGCCAATCCCACAGGATATAATATAAGTCTATGGCTAAGTGCAGTAAACCCACAGGAAAACTTCAGGTATACTACACTGCAGCTGTGGTATGGGTAAACCGCAGCACGTCAGTGTGAAAGCAGCCCTATACTATTATGCCCAGTGTATTGCTTCACACTGACCTGAAGATCTTTTCTGTCCTGCTGCTCACACCACTCTGGAGACTGCTAGTGAGGATAAGAGGTGGAATGCAGTTGGTATCCCTTTGCATGGGACAGGAGCAATAACTAAAGAGGAGGCTCGGCGGCTTATGCAGCTCTTGCTCTCTAATACAGCTCTGACTTTACAAGTAGCCCACCAGCATTGCACTCTGCTTGATGCTCTGGGATGGCGAGTCAGCAAGCCCAGACCATGATCCACCAGTCACCTGGCCTCGATATGCTGGTTGCTGACCCCAGTCTAAATCAAAAGTCCCAATAATTTTGGGTTCTTCACATGGGAGAGGAAGGTGGGGTGGCTGCGTAGCATGCTGTCCCATAACTACTAGTACTGTGTTTGTCTCTTCACCTTCCCAAAAGAACAAACCTTTGGGGAGTGAAGGTGAGTATGTGTAGGTGTAGGGGACGGTATTGGACTGAACTTTGCACTGCATGAACAAAGCACAGGTTCACTTTAAAGTGCATTGACCACAATCCATCAGCTGCCATAATTATGTTAACAACTTGTTTCAGTAGCCATTGCCTGCAAGAGCACCTGTTTAAATAAAACAAAAAAAAACACAGTGGCCATTTTGTATGAAAACAGCCATCTGAAGGTTGAGCTCATATCCTACTAAGTATTATTATTATTATTATTATTATACAGGATTTATATAGCACCAACAGTTTGCTCAGTGCTTTACAATATAACGGGACATTACAGCAACAATACAGTTCAATACAAGAGGGATAGGAGGGCCCTGCTCCTTGGAGCTTACAACTAGGATACAGAGTTATAGGTACCACAATATCAGGGTCAGTATGAATTGGTGCAATTTGTTAAGATAAGTTGGGTATGGTAAATATCTTTCTATGGTGGACAGGTAGTAGGTCTGCTACCGCTTGTGTCATGGAATGGAACACCACATTGGTAATCCCAGGGTCCTGTCCAGTAGTATTCGGCCCGAAGCCTACAGTTAAATCTACTACAGCCTACTTGAACATAGGTTTCAATCGCTGGAGGCAAGCTTCTTCCTCAAGGACAATTTCTGCAGTCTATAGGTTGGTTTTCCACTTATTCCCTCTAAAAATATTTCAGAGATTCTACGTCCCTAAACCCAGGCATGGCCTATGAGTCAATTCTTCCAAACTCACTTTACTCTGTTTTAGGTCAAAGTGGACACCAGACCTTCCAGCCTTGGCTGCACTAACAGTCCCCGCACTGCTGTTGAACACCTGTGACCTGCTGTTGAACATTACTGCCGTCCAGCACAAAGAAAGAATGTCCAGTTGGGCTTAGATAAATAGACCTTAGGCAGTCCATAGATGAGTTCATTTTTTTTTCGTTCAACCAGAAACAAACTAACTTGATTACCCCATCCACACACTCGATGTGGATGGGGGAATGCTCCCTGCTGAGTTATTGTATTCTGACAGCAGGGAGACTTCCCCACCATCAGAATAAACTGATCAGCATTGCAGGCTATAGCCTGCAGCACTGATCAAGCAGGGAAAATCCAACAGGGCGGTCGATCAATTTCTGTACAACCACTGTGCCCATACATGGATTGAAATTCAGTTGGTCCCTGCTGAACCAGCCGAATTTTGGTTCATGTATGGCTAGCTTTAGGCTTTACTCCAAAAGATTGTAATTAAAAGGAAGGATAATTAAATTAGCATATTTCTTCTTTTCTCCATTTAAATAGCAAAGCACTCTTTCAAAGTACTCTGTTGCTTAACTAGTTGCCGACCGCAGATAGCCGAATGACGGCTGCACTGCGGCCGGCCAGTTCTGGGTGGACGTCATATGACGGCCTCCCAGAACGCGCTCTCCTGGGGCGCGCACCCGGCGATCACCGTGATCGCTGTGTCCTACGGACACAGCTGATCACGTGATGTGGTAAAAGGCCAATCACAGTGGCCTTTTACCACGTGATCAGCGGTGTCCAATGACACGCTGATCACAGGGAAATGCAAGTGCCGGTTCTCGGCTGCACTTTCCTCACGCTGTCAGATCGTGAGGAAAGTACTGCCGAGAACCGGCAGTTGTCAGAGCAGGGATCGGCACCGATCATCAGGGCCCTGATGATCAGTGCCCTGATGATCGGTGCCCATCAGTGCCACCCGCAAGTTCCGCCCACCTGTGCCCAGCAGTGCGCCCACTAGCTCTGCCCACCTGTGCCCAGCAGTGCACCCACCTGTGCCCAGCAGTGCACCCACCTGTGCCACTCTGCAGTGTCACACACCTGTGCCCAGAAGTGCCACCTACCTGTGCCCAGCAGTGCCACCCACCTGTGCCCACCAGTGCCACCCACCTGTGCCCACCAGTGCCACCCACCTGTGCCCACCCACCAGTGCCACCCACCAGTGCAGCCCAGCCCAGCAGTCAGTGCCACCAGTCAGTGCCCAGCGGTTGTGCCAGTCAGTGCCACCAGTCAGTGCCCAGCAGTGATGACAGTCAGTGCCGTCTATCAGTACCCATCATCAGTGTCACCTATCAGTGCCGCCTATCAGTGCTGCATATTAGTGCCGCCTATCCGTGACACCTCATTAGTGCTGCCTATCAGTGCCGCCTATCCGTGCCACCTCATTAGTACTGCCTATCAGTGCCCTTTAGTGCTGCCTATCAGTGCCCATCAGTACTGCCTATCAGTGCCCATCAGTGCTGCCTCATCAACGCACATCAGTGAAGGAGAAAAATTACCTGTTTGAAAAATTTTATAATAGAAACAAAGAAACTTTTTTTTTTTTCAAATTTTTTTAATTTTTTTATTTATAGCGCAAAAAGTAAAGCGCCCAGTGGCGATTAAATACCACCAAAAGAAAGCTCTATTTGTGAGAAAAAAATGATCAAAATTTCATATGGGTACAATGTTGCATGACCGCGCAATTGTCAATCAAAGTGCGGCAGCGCTGAAAGCTGAAAATTGGCCTGGTAAACAAGGGGGTATAAGTGCCTGGTAGGCAAGTGGTTAACTGGTCCCAGCCTTTCTCAGCTAGGGTTCCTTGAGCAATGAGTAACTTATGCTTCTCAGGTGAGTAGCCTCTGACAACAATGGTCTTTTTAGCAATCAGTAAGGGCACAATAACCACATATGTAAGCAGTATTCTTCCCACTAGACATGTGTTTTGTAAGAAATTAATTTTCAGGTGAAAAGATATGTACAGTATATAAATCTCCAAATGGACATAGTAATGAATGTCAACAAATCCATTAGTTTCCTTTGGATGACATCACATGATGGGATAGTAGTTCAGGCCCATGGGGAAATTAATTTAATTTTTCAAACTCGTTTGATAATTTGGATTCATGTAAATCTGTAATTCAAATTGAATTTGCAATTGTCACAGTTAGTCAGTTCAGTTCCACAGTCTAATGCAATTCTTAGGTTTGAAAAATTCAGGGCCGGCAAAATTTTCATTGCATTTATTTGTTGCGTGATCAAAAAATTTAATAGTTTTGATATATGAATAATGAATCAACCCAAAATATCAAATAGAAAATTAATTTGAAACAACCTTCTAAAAAAACTGCAAACATTTTCGAATCCCCGCCAGACTAAAGAATATGCAAAACAAATGCTGAAGATACAAAATGAATTCTGAAAATCGGTTCAACATAACAAATATGGTCAAATTAATTTGTCAATGAACGAATGTATCTGAAAGTATATGAAACGAAAATTCCCACTGAACCCCTGACCATCACACTCATGTACTATGAGCTGTAGATACATTAATTATTAGCAGGGGTTCCCTGAGCCCAGAAAGTTATTTCAAGAGATCCTCCATTTTAAAAAGATTGAGAGAAGCTGTCTTAGCTTCTACTTCTCTTATCCAACAGGACAATGCATCTTATGGAGTTGCTCATGAATAGCAGTGCAGCAAGAAAGAGGGCTATTGTAATAGGGGAGTCCCATCCTCTCAATACGCAGTTCAACTCTTGGCTCCCTCCTCCAGGAGGAGACTTCTTTAGCCCCTCCCAGCTGTCCTAGCCACTTTCCTGGAATCCAAGGGTTGAGCCTTATGGTTTAATACCCTCTAAGACCTAGATAAGGTTATATTTCAGTTTTGGGGTTGACAGTTAAAGCCTTAGTCCAGCACATTTTTGGGTGGATAGAAAGGAGAAGAGTTATGTAGCACTACCCCCTTAGGTGTCGCTGACGTTTTGGGTCCCCTTATAGTCCTGCACAGCCAGGCACCATGCATTTTCACAGACTTGCATTGAGGAGTCAGTAACCAGTCCTTGAGCTTTGTTTTTTGGTGATTTTATTAGAGAATTGTTATTTGGATAAGACAGAGGTCTGGAACTGTAACTGAAGACAATCTTCCTGAACTAAGTACAACTCTTTACACAAAAATCCTCTTTTTGGAGAGCTAGCCAGCATCTCCTGTTGTACCACCCCAGACCCCAGATTCTCCTAATCCAGCTGTTCTGGGTGAATCCCTGAGCAGAGGATCCAGTGCCTGTCACTTTAAAAGAAGACAGTTCCAGGTAGTTGCTAATCTGGTTTCCCACCAGAGTGCTCCCTATCTGACCCAGAGGGTGCATGTTTACTCACTCAGTCCTTCTCCTGTGCTGCTGGTGGGTCGGTGGTTGCTACTAGGCCTTCTAGCTGGGCTGCTCCTTCCCTGCCACACAGGTGGTCTTCTCTCAGGGGGCCGGTGAAGTCCCAAGCTTTCCTCCTTCCAAGGTCCTCTGCCTGTAGGTGAGCCTCTCTCCATCTGGGCAACCCTCCCAGGCTCTCTCCAGCCTCACATCCTCCTTTTCCACCCGAACTCCTTCCAACTCTCTCCTGCTGCTGAGCAGGCTCAGTTACTCTTAAAGGCTGTCCTGGCCCCTTGCCAAGCCTCCTGTTGGGGATTGGTCAGGATCCTCCAAGAGTACAGACCAGCCACTCCTCCTCTCTGCCCACTGCTTCTAGATCTTTCTCCAAAGTACTAGAGCAGAGGGAAATTCCAGAAAGCTGATCTGCAGAGCTCTCAGCTCTGACCCAAATTTGACCCACCTAGGAGGGTGCTACATTTATATTTCTGTCATAATTTTATATCTCTCCCTGCTCCTACTGGGGATATCTTACCTCACATCCTGTCCCTGTAATGGCCCTACAAAAATTGAGGTAGGAGTTGTTATCAGGACAGGGCACAGGACAGTAATATAAACACTGTTAGAAGTTCTAACCCCACTCTACTAGAAATGTTCTTTTGTCTGTCACTGTTAAGACCGGTTCACATTATCATGTTGCTGTAGTGTGCACATTTCCACATACTTTACAGCAATGCCTGGCTCAGTACACTACTAGTGCTAGTGTGATGAGATGGACACGTGGCATTCTGAATGGCACCTTAATGCACTTTGCCAATGGACATGTGGCACAGAGCACAACACAATTCTTTGGCCCACAGGACCTTAAATGAGGCACATCACTGCATAAACAAATAGATTAAATATGCAATATCAATACAAAATGATTTTAAGTATATACATAAATGACTCATTAAAATAACAGGCTGATTTATTGTATTACATCATATGTCAGTATAAAATATATACTATATTTATATACAGAACACACACACACACACACACACACATATATATATATATATATATATATATATATATATATATATTCCATTGCAGATACTCTAACATGGTCTAATTTTAGGAAAAGTGCATCCAATATCTCAATGCGTTTCATGAACTTCAATTCTGTTCATCAGGGGTGGGTGCTACTGACGGGGTGTCTATAAGGTGAAAATGAACAAATTAGATTTCTAGAATGTGAGTAAAAATAAAACCACCTTAATGACAGGTTATAAGGGCATTGCACTTACAAATCAGCTTCTAAACAACATTGGGATCAAAAACTGTAGCACCTTTTGGATGGGAGCCACTAAGGGGTATCTGTCCCGGGAGCTGTGTGGAAAGGACCCATATGGACTAGAACAGGTAGACATTTTTGACAGGAACCTGCACAGTGCAGCAGAACATGAACTCACTAATGTGTAATGCGGTACGCTGCCAGAAAAGGTGTTTAGTGGGCCGTTGTGGTGCAGTGCCAGTCTATTCATTTTGATTAGACCATTTGATTTTGATGCATTTAACTTATTAAAAGGCAGCACAGGGTGGAAGAGTATATTTAGCTTTAGGAAAATGTTTAGCCTGACAAAAAGTGCCGGGAATCTCCCCATAGGGACACAAATGGCAATAGAAGCCTAATTGAACTTCTAACCATTCTCTGTTCCATCAAAAACAAAATGAAATCTTTTGGCTGAAGTTTAAGTGATAGCTGTTCCTAGGGGATAGGAGATTATACAGTATCTAAAGGTAATGTTTCAGAGTAAAGGTTAGGAGGAACTCTAGCTCTTAGTGTTAGGATAAGGATTTCATGTCCGTAAGTACTGAAGCCATTGGTTCAGCAAGACAGCCAAGAAACTCAGTGGCAGCCCCATGTTTCCCTGGTGATAGGTTTACTTTCAAAGAATGTTAAAAATGTATGCCCTGGGAGTCTTTCTAGGAAGTTCTTTTCTTGAAATGCAGCTGGAATGACATGTGAAATGAAGTATTTTCCAGAAGCTTAGCCTGCAGACCGCATAGCCTGTGGCCATGAAGGGCAGAATATTTCAAGATATGACTGCTATATGTTAACATGTCACAGACACAGATTGGGACTGATAATTATGGCAGAACAGCAGATGTTTTATAGAGAGACATTTAGAAAACAAGAGACTTCATATCATTGCTAAACTTGACTTTAAGTAAATCTCAAGCTGCAAAAACTCTACTGGACACTGATCTACAATTGCTCAGAAAGGAGCAAATAGTGAAGAGCAGTACCAGGATGAGGTCAACCAGTGCCCTAGGGCAAGATGCGGAACTGCCCCCCTCCCCCCATTATTAACTTATAATGTAGAATGAGTATACCACCCTGCTCAGTTCTTCACCCCCTACCCCCCATGACCAGGTGCCCATGGTTGGCATTGAGTGTGCACTGTGCATTACTGGCCAATCACTTGCTTTATAACAACTGGGATGTGTCTGTGCATGTTTGGTGTGTTTTTTGTGTCAGCTGTGGGTTACAAGTGGGCATGTTGGAGCACGGTGTGACAGCAGTAGCTGTCAAAGGTGATATGGAGTCATGGCTCACTGATTGCCAACCCCCACAGATCTGGAGCATGCGTGTTGTGTGGCATACTCTGCCCTCACACAAGGGTCCCATGGCAGTTCCCCCATTATCTCAGCCCTGGTAAATGCATATTTAGATAATATTAGATTTGGTGGCTGAAGAATTTTCAGCATCCAACATACACTCACCAGCCACTTTACTACACCTTGCTAGTGTAAAGAAAATATCCCCAACATCATTACACCACCACCACCAGCCTGAACCGTTGATACAAGGCAGGATGGATCCATGATTTCATGTTGTTTACGCCAAATTCTGACCCTACTATCTGAATGTCGCAGCAACAAGTCTGACCATTCTCCTCTGACCTCTGACATCAACAAGGA